TTTCAACTACTGTGGATTTTCGCTACTACACAGTCAGTTTCACCATAGTTTTCCATTCAAGAAATTGAGCACAGAATTAATAATCAAAAGTTTGACAAAGCTATGGCAATAGGAGACATATGGGTCCCAGATAATCACTATTTCCACCATCTTGCCACTCCATTATCACATCTCTCTCCCCTCTTTTTCTCTCTTCCTCTGTCTCTTTTTTGCTCCCAGAAGACTTCCTTACATTCTCGTCTTTCCTACAAAAAATCCTTAAACATCCCATTTCTTGTAATTTTTCTTGATGTTATGGAACCAACTTTAGGCTTGCTAGGTGGGATTGGGGCCGGAGGCGGTGGCGGTAGAGGAGGTGGTGGAGCTGGTAGCGCAACCTTGTCTTGTGATCAGACTGGTTTAAATGTACCCAATTCTGAAAAAGACTACATGGACATTTCAAAAGAGTCTGAGCTTGAACTGGGATTAGGGCTGAGCCTTTGCAGCAGCGGCGGTGGTGGTGTGGAGGCGAAGGGTAAGGGGTCTGCATGGAGTGAATATGGAAGGATATTGACTGCTAAAGACTTTCCCAATGGGTTTTCAGCTGGGAGTGGAAGGGCTGCTGCTGGAACAAAGAGAGCTGCTGCTGACTCTGTAGGTTCTGCTGAAGGTGGCTCTCCTTCTACTGGTGTCAGGTTAGAATTGATTTTCTCAGGAGGATGGTGACTCGTTTGATAATATAAATCTTGGAATTCGACTAATCGAATTGCTTGTTTGAGCTTTAAAACCATATTGATTCTTGGTTCCATTGGCAACCTTGTTCATATTTTATTTTATTTATTTATTATTATTATTTTTTTTTTATACCTAGATGTACTCTGATATATAGTGATGATTTTAAGAATATGATTTTAATCTTGGTCTTTGATTTATTATTTTAATTAATTATGTTCGGTTTAATGTTAAAAAAGGTTACCTTGTAATATATTTTCAGTAAAAGTTTTCTCTTCTATACCAGTGTTTTCTTTTGCTTCATTATAAAAACCACTTTCTTTTTCTTCCTAAGTGGGATATACAATAAATTGCTGTAAGTTGTCATCCAATTATGATCTATCATTATGTTTGGAATTGCTTTTATTTTATTTTATTTTTTTATTTTTTCTATTATTATTATTTTTTTTCAAATACATCATCTTTACCAATATGAAAGATTTTGTATGACCCTTTAGGGCATGTTTGATGCTTAGTGTTGAATACGACTTGACAGTCCAATCGAAAAGATTTTAGCTTTTTCCTGCACTTTGTTTTGAAAATATGCAGAACTATGCTGTGTTGTGTTGTATCATGTGTTCTTTGTTTTTTAAATCATTACTCTAGTTATATTCCTTCTTTCGTTCATTAGATTAAGAGATGCATTTTTGCTTTGGAAAGCAGTCAGGTTGTGGGATGGCCTCCTATAAGGGCATACAGGATGAACACCTTAGTCAACCAAGCAAAGACTTCAAATACTGAAGATGGTGAGGGAGTTGGCAGGGACGAAAAGAAGGAGAACTCGAAGAAGAAAATCAATCATGGAAATGACAAGAATGATTCGACCATTAAAGAAAGAGATCATCTAGGATATGTGAAGGTGAATATGGATGGATTACCAATTGGAAGAAAGGTGGACTTGAAGGCTCACACTAGCTATGAAACTTTGGCGCAAACTTTGGAAGAGATGTTCTTCAAGCATCCATCGAGGAAGATCCGTACGTGTACTTTATGTGTTATCAACAATACAAATTACTCGAATGAGGGAAAAAATTTGAATATTTGATTTGATTATCTTGAAAACGAGTTCTATAATCTTGCGATTGTGGCATTCTTAGCTGATATCCAATGTATTTCTCTTGGTTGGATCAGGTAGTGGAAAGGAACAATCAATGCAACCTTTTAAGCTTTTGGATGGTTCGGCTGAGTTCGTGCTCACATATGAGGATAAAGAAGGAGACTGGATGCTAGTCGGAGATGTTCCATGGGGGTATGTCAAAATATATTACATTTATACTCAATATATAGACATCTTTTATAATGAATTAGGAAAGTAATAAAATTGATCTTCTATCCATAGTGGGCAGGAGCTTTGTTGTTCACCCTGTGACATGGCATGCCACGTCAATAGGTCAAACCTTTTTCTTTTGATTTGTCAAAAAAAGCAGTTTCACATTAGGCGAAGTTTCTCCTACCAATTGTTGGCAGGAGATTAGGTCTGAGAAATGTAATATCAACCTCAAGCAACTTGATTAATTCAACTTCCAGGAATAACTGCAGAAATTGATGTTCTAAAAAGTTTAAGTCCTTTTTTCTAATACAATATTTACAGTGAATAACAAGCTCGCGCGCACGCACACATACTCACTCACTTAATCCACATTACAATCACGACTCTGAAATGATGCTATGCATATAACATGGGGACCAATATAAGACTTAGTCAACACTACAAGGTGCTGCTAGCTAGGTAGAGTTCACTGCTTGTTCATTTTATACTTGATGATGTTCTAAAAAGTTTAAGTCCTTTTTTCTAATACAATATTTACAGTGAATAACAAGCTCGCGCGCACGCACACATACTCACTCACTTAATCCACATTACAATCACGACTCTGAAATGATGCTATGCATATAACATGGGGACCAATATAAGACTTAGTCAACACTACAAGGTGCTGCTAGCTAGGTAGAGTTCACTGCTTGTTCATTTTATACTTGATAGTACTAACATTGTAGCCCGGCAATTGATTTTATTGAAATGAAGGAAAAGTATAATGCAAAACTTCAAATTTCATGCTTATATTTCACATCATCCAGTACTAAAATGTCGATTTTTCTTCCTACGTTCAGGATGTTTCTCAGCACTGTGAAAAGGCTCAGAATCATGAAAATTTCAGAGGCGAATGGACTTGGTATTTATGCATATTATGTTACATAGCTTCACTTTTCTTCTGTCGCTTCGTTGTTAGCTTCTAAATCTGGTTGATCTTTATGGGATTTTGAATTTTTTTCAATATGTTTTTTCTTGTATTGATATGATGTCACAAAGAATGAGAATTACATATAAATTGGAGACCATAACTCTAAAACTATATGTATTTTGGAAAGTGTTACAGGTACATAATTGTCTACATAATGGTGTCCATAATTACACGTGGCACTGAATCCAATTTTTAATTTAAATCTCACTCTTCCACAACAACAATCGGATGATTGTCATATCACATTATGGACACCATTATGTACAATAATTATGTACAAGTAGAATTTTCCATGTATTTTACCCATCATGAAATACAACTCTAAAATAATTCGGTCTCTACACATATTTAGGCCCACACTTAATTTAAATTGCTAAAGTCCAATGACTTTAATTTTTTATTAGATCATTTTAAATGGGCTTAACTTTAATATAGTATTTATACACAATTAATTACATATGTAGGCTTATATGACAAATTAATAATTTCCTACAACCATGCTCCTCTGCCAGAAGAAGCATGACAGAGGGTCTGACCGATACACACATTTGGGGGGTGGGACCACCTCTTCCTCCCAATTGTTTATTCATGCAGGCTCGGTGGTTGTGAGTGAGTGTCGTGACCTCTGTCAACCATTCTTATGGCAGAGGAGCATTTTCCAATTTCCTAGCATCTGTTTCTTTGACATTCTCTTAGTGGCTATATTGACTTTTTGTCATTCTAGTACTTGCGATGGCAATGCTAAAGTTTAGATCCTTAAAAAATCGAGGCTAGAGGTGCTTGGGTTTGATGGTTCAAATCTTTTAATGGCGGTAGTGCGTCGATTTAGAGGTGATGATGTGTAGAGAGAGAGAGAGAGAGAGAGAGGTGGGGGGTAGTTAGAGGTTGGAGATGGGGGTTTTGGTGGCTGTGATACTAATGGAGGAAGTTAAAATGGTATAGAGAGAATGTAGAATAAGTGGTTATTGGTTAGTTTAAGTAGTAAATTATTTTCAAAACACTTAATTTTCGAACTTTTATATATATATATGTGTGTGTGTGTGTGTGTGTGTGTAAAATTGCATTTAAGGTTCTCAAACCTTATTTATTGTAGAACTTATGTTTCAAAATTTTTTCTATCGAATTTTTATTTTCTAACTTCCGTTAATTAATGTATCTCATTGTTGATGATAAATTGTGTCAAAATATTCTGTTTGCATACTTTGAAATATTTTCATATTTTAGTATTTATTATTTTTATATAGGGTGAGGAAATAAGCCTCATTAGCTCTCCTAACTTACTTTTTCGACAAAAACAATTGACAGAACAAGAGGAATTGATTAATTGAAGGCTGAAGCTGAAGATAAATATTAGACTAAAGTAAAGCTAAGGACATAAATGTCACAATGAGCAAATCTTGAGAACCTTGAATGCAATAAAATAAAGTGCAACTAGTAAGAACTATGATGTGCATACAATAACAATTACCTATAATTAAAATAAAGAATTGTGGGTCTGATAGCCTTGTTACATCTGGGCCGGCTTTTGAAATGATATGCCTAGCCATGTGTATATGACTGATTTGGCCAATAAGACGTTTACTTATAAGCCTCAGGATCACAAATTGCATGAAAGTTTTTCTTATATGAATTAGCCCTTGTTTGAAAATCATTATTTGAAAAAAAAAAAAATTCTACATATTTATTTTTAATTATACGTTAACATAATAAAATATTATGCACGTAAATCTAAAATTTTGTCCTACTTTTTAACTACATATTCTTAAAAGAATTACTATTTAAAACTCTATTTATCCAAATAATGGTTGTCAAGCAGGAGCTTAGCACAGTACAAAATAAAAAATAAAAAATAAAAAATAAAAAATAAAAAAGTCATCCCCTGACTCTGAATACAACAATGGTATGTCTGATAAAAAGACGTTAATATAATGTGATTTAAGTATAAAGATCACATATGTTTGACATTTAGGGTGTGTTTGTCATCCATTATTTGGGAAGAATGTATTATGAAATAGTGATTGATGTTAAAATATATGGTTAAAAAAGATGAAATTTTTTTTGATTTACGTGTAATATTATTTTAATGAAGAACATGTGGTTAAATATGGATACTGTAAAGAAAATAATGAAAAAGAATGAGAGAAAATGGATGACAAATAAGGGCTTAATTAGAAAAACTCAAAATTTTAACTAAGTGATCAGTGCTTGTACGGGACTGATATTTAAACTGCGGATCTCAAAAAATGTGTAGATAAAAGATGGATAGTAACTGTGAATCCTACAAATTGTATGAATTACTAAAATTGACAAAAATAAATAAATAAATAAAAGAAATAAGAAAACACAGAAAACTTGGGCTAAGCTACATGGAGCCCCCACTGCTAATCTGTCTCGGACTGAAGCCGGTCCCATGAAGATGAAGCTCCCGATCAAGCCGTGAAAGCTGTCGGCCCACGTCGCATAATCCCGTGACTCTGCGCCCCCACATTGTCGGTTTCTTCTTTTCTTTTCCGAGCCTGCAAACCGGAAATCTGTTTTCATTAGCTAGCTCAAATATTCTGTAAATTAATTCCAATTTACCTTCTTCTTCTTCTTTTTTTCCCCTGAATAAAATAATTTATTTATCACATTTCAGAAAATTTTAAATTTTACATTTTCGTATTATTGTTCAACTTAATAGTTAACTCCCTATACTAACATGGAAAAAATTCAAATATTTAAAAGGTATAAAATGATTCTATAATTTAATAAAATGTGTATTATTAAAATCTAAGCTTAGTTAATAAATTATCTATTTTTGATACAAATTATTTTTCACATTTTCCATATGTTATCATGATTTTTAACACTAATTATACATGTCATCATGAATTGTTGAAAAAGAATAATATTGACATGCTAAAATTTGTAAATGAACCATTTGATCTAGCTTTACATAATAAAATATTAAACGAACTGAAAATTTTACTTCTCTTTTAAATTTTATTAAATTCAATTACTAAATGACAAATAGAGTGTTTTAAGTTTAATCTCAAAAAATAAATAAAAATGTAGCAAATGAAAGTTCTTTTCTCCATCAAATTATTTGTTTTGAAGTTTTAATTTTCTTGAAATGTATATTAGATACGCAAAATTAAACATGAAGGTTAATAATTATTGTCGTATATCTCTCCCAATAAAATTCAATTCATAATAATTGCATATATCAAACATATGCTATTTTTGTATTTATTGAAAATAAACTATGCCTTGTCAAGAGTAAATTCTACATAAAAAAAAAAAGAAAAAAGAAAGAATAAATAACCAATATATAAGGATTTTCAACATTCCTCGTAAAAATATTAACATTTCAAGATAGAATCACAAGTCTTAAAACTATTATATGAGCCCATTAATTTTAACGAATAAATTGAATTGTTTAAAACTAGAACAAGAATTCGGCCTTTAAGATTAGTATTATCAAACGATTTACTATCTTGCTTGACATATTAAGAAAAATTCTCATCGTGTAAAGATGAAATAAATAATCAAAATATAAAATTTGGATTAGTTCTTTAAACAATATCGACATTTTAAGATAAAATTTCAAAATCAAGTATTCCTAAAATATGTTAGATCCAAATAATTTTTGGAAGTTTTTGTCAAATGTCTAATAAATTTCAAGTTTTGCCCAATTCAATGAATTAAACATGTTGTCTTTATATTTGAGTTATTATTGAAATAATATGGTCCCCTATTAGTTGCTTGAAAGTTGACAATATGCTTTTTAAGGTGCAAAATTAAATACTATACTATACTATCCTATTCCACCATTCTTTTGTTTTACTTTACTATTTATTCTCTATTTGGGCAGCCCACGAGACAATGGTTGGCATATGTTCAAGGTTTCTACTTTTCAATACAAGGTTTTGTGCTTATTGTCTTCTCAATAGTAGACACAACATAGTAAAATAAAAGCATGGAGCAGCAAAAATATATATATTTACAATATATATGCTTTTGCATTGTAAAAAGACTCAAAACTACAGTCTTTAACCATGGCTTTTATGCCAAAGTTGAGACAACTAATCTAGATTAAGATTTTGTCAACATTGTTTATGAGTACTGATAATTTTATTTATCATCTTTTATAGTACGTCTCTCGTAAAAATTGAATTTACTTTTTGTTAGACATTCCACAAATTAGATTTTTATAAATGATTAACGTTAATATTTGAATTTAAGACTTGTCTGTAACGATATTATGTTATGTCACTTTATTTAGAAAAATTAACATTGTGGAAAATGAGATAAATTTACTTATTTATTTATAAATATACCTTTAGCTATACATGTTACACCCTAAATGATCGAGTGACACAACAAGGGACTCATAAGAAGTATCAGAGACCCATTTGAGAATGCATGAGATATGTGAAGAATAACGATAGATGTCCGATAATAACGTAAGATGACTTGAAAAAGTCTAGAGAACGTTAAGGTTAAGTTAGGCATTATTCAACACAACAGTCTTAAAACGACAACCAACACAACAACAACTCAATGAACTTGACAAAGACTAGCTCAACCTACAAAGTCATGCAAGTAGTAAAACCGATTTAACTCTTGGAGTCGAGTAGATGTATGTATATTGTGTGTGTGTGTGTGTGTATGTTTACATTTATTTGTTGTCAAAACATTCCTTTTTGGTTAGTTGCAACACTAAAATGCTTTATACTCGTAAAGTAAGGAATGTGGCTCTTGAGTATCTGTCTGGCCAGCACATAAAAATTTATATATAAAGAATTGCAATAAATAAACTATGAAAAAAGATCTCCATATATTTGTAGGACTCGAAAACGATTCATTGCTGTCTCTCCCATGAGTGCATTAAATAAAATAATAAAACTAAGCATCAATAATAATTGTTGTCGGATAATCCAATACTATAATGTTTTGAAAGGACAAAATTTTCAAAGTTTATTTGCCTTTTATTGCCTTGGGGTGTTTTTGTGGGAAGCATGAGAAATTTAATAATTGGATTTGGAAAAAAAGAGGATTTTCTTTGTTCTTTTTTTCTTTTTCATTTGGAGATACTCTTTGGGTTATTGATGAATTGAATAGACTACTAGTTTGGAAAATCACACACTAAATGTTCGTTAATGATGGCATTATATTTAGATGTTATCGTGATGGCCTACCCCAAGTCATATGCATGCGTTTATGAAGAGCTTTCTAACCACGTGGATGGAAGGCTCGTCTCAAGGTTTTTGCGTTCGAGGCAGGGTACAATAGGCACCTTATGGACGATCATAACATGTCTTGAAATTTTGGCTATTTTTTTAGTTCGTTATTTACTTTTGTTTAAAAAAAAGTCAATGAACTTTTCAATTTGTTTGAATTTGGTAATTATGTTGACTAATTAGGTTCAACCATGAACTAGAGTTTTAACGTTGTTTATATGGCCAACAAGCTTTTCGCTTACGAACTCATTAGATCGATCGGACGGTTGACTAATGAGTTTTTAAGCCTAATTTTATTTCTCAAAGAGTGTTAGATGAAAATTGAGTTTTCAATTATATTTAGTTAGTATTTATTTACTAAATAAATTCGAAAGATGATGAAGGTTGAATTTTTAATTTTCTTTTAGAAAACTTTTTTATTATATAAATTCAAATTTTAATTTCGTTTATTTCTGAATAATTCTAGATATTAGGGATTTTAACTTTCGTCATTATTTTTAGTTTTAATAATTACCTATATTTTAGTTATTATTTTTAAATAAGGATTGTAAATCATCATGGCAATTAATTATTTTTAAAATAAATTTATGACCTTTGTAATTTTTCTATCTCTTAAATTCTCGTTATTTGATATTTAAAACCAAAAATCCAAATTCTTTCCGTGCGCATATTAAAGAGTTTTGATGTATATATATTTTTAATATTTTTAGAAATTAACAAAAATTAAAAGATAATCGTATTGCGATATTCATTTGAAATTAACGAAACTTCGATAACATGGTAATCGTTTTGGTAACTACATCAATATCTCTGCTTTAAAACAAATTTTTTATTTTTCTCCTACTTTTGAGTTGCTTTCGAGTCTTCATTCGAAATGGCCAAAAGGATGAAAGGACAAAGAATATGGGAGACATAAAAATAGTGTTAGAGCAAACTTTCTTCCTCATTTGTAGACAATTTCACCGTAAAAATCTATATTAAGATTACAGGTGGAGAAAGCGAAACATAAAAGTGGAAAAAATTACCCTTTTGTGCTCAATAATCCCGATTTCGATCATATATATATATATATATATATATATATATATTATTTTTGATTTTTTTTTCTTCTACAATTACCTTGTCTATTATTCAAACAAAATTTCTATTAACGTCTTCTTGTTAGAGATGGTTAAAAGAAGTGAAATTGATATCACAGAGAAATCACGTGAGAAGGAGATACATTAAGGGTCCGTTTGATAGCAAAGGTGAAAAAAGCAAACCAATTCTATATACGTTAGAAAAGTAAAAATCACAAAAACGATAAAAATTCGATTTCCATGAAAATGGCCAAAAAATATTTTAATATTAGTACGTTGAAATTCGAACTCTGTTTCCACTTTTCTATCAAACAACCAAGGTAAAAAATTAATTCCTCGAATGTGACATTTTTCAATTGGAATTGGCAAATATGCAACTGAGAAATATTGAATTCTTTGACAAATATAGAGCAGCAAAAGGAAAAATAAAAAGCCAATAAATGTCTATTATTAAAATCACTCAACCTCATAATATATGGTTTCAACTACTGTGGATTTTCGCTACTACACAGTCAGTTTCACCATAGTTTTCCATTCAAGAAATTGAGCACAGAATTAATAATCAAAAGTTTGACAAAGCTATGGCAATAGGAGACATATGGGTCCCAGCATAATCACTATTTCCACCATCTTGCCACTCCATTATCACATCTCTCTCCCCTCTTTTTCTCTCTTCCTCTGTCTCTTTTTTGCTCCCAGAAGACTTCCTTACATTCTCGTCTTTCCTACAAAAAAATCCTTAAACATCCCATTTCTTGTAATTTTTCTTGATGTTATGGAACCAACTTTAGGCTTGCTAGGTGGGATTGGGGCCGGAGGCGGTGGCGGTAGAGGAGGTGGTGGAGCTGGTAGCGCAACCTTGTCTTGTGATCAGACTGGTTTAAATGTACCCAATTCTGAAAAAGACTACATGGACATTTCAAAAGAGTCTGAGCTTGAACTGGGATTAGGGCTGAGCCTTTGCAGCAGCGGCGGTGGTGGTGTGGAGGCGAAGGGTAAGGGGTCTGCATGGAGTGAATATGGAAGGATATTGACTGCTAAAGACTTTCCCAATGGGTTTTCAGCTGGGAGTGGAAGGGCTGCTGCTGGAACAAAGAGAGCTGCTGCTGACTCTGTAGGTTCTGCTGAAGGTGGCTCTCCTTCTACTGGTGTCAGGTTAGAATTGATTTTCTCAGGAGGATGGTGACTCGTTTGATAATATAAATCTTGGAATTCGACTAATCGAACTGCTTGTTTGAGCTTTAAAACCATATTGATTCTTGGTCCCATTGGCAACCTTGTTCGTATTTTATTTTATTTTTATTTTTATTTTTTATAACTAGATGCAATCTGATATATAGTGATGATTTTAATAATATGATTTTAATCTTGGTCTTTGATTTATCATTTTAATTAATTATGTTCGGTTTAATGTAAAAAAAGGTTACCTTGTAATATATTTTCAGTAAAAGTTTTCTCTTCTATACCAGTGTTTTCTTTTGCTTCATTATAAAAACCACTTTCTTTTTCTTCCTAAGTGGGATATACAATAAATTGCTGTAAGTTGTCATCCAATTATGATCTATCATTATGTTTGGAATTGCTTTTATTTTATTTTATTTTTTTATTTTTTCTATTATTATTATTTTTTTTCAAATACATCATCTTTACCAATATGAAAGATTTTGTATGACCCTTTAGGGCATGTTTGATGCTTAGTGTTGAATACGACTTGACAGTCCAATCGAAAAGATTTTAGCTTTTTCCTGCACTTTGTTATGAAAATATGCAGAACCATGCTATGTTGTTTGTATCATGTGTTCTTTGTTTTATAAATCATTACTCTAGTTATATTCCTTCTTTCGTTCATTAGATTAAGAGATGCATTTTTGCTTTGGAAAGCAGTCAGGTTGTGGGATGGCCTCCTATAAGGGCATACAGGATGAACACCTTAGTTAACCAAGCAAAGACTTCAAATGCTGAAGATGGTGAGGGAGTTGGCAGGGACGAAAAGAAGGAGAACTCGAAGAAGAAAATCAATCACGGAAATGACAAGAATGATTCGACCATTAAAGAAAGAGATCATCTCGGGTTTGTGAAGGTGAATATGGATGGATTACCAATTGGAAGAAAGGTGGACTTGAAGGCTCACACTAGCTATGAAACTTTGGCGCAAACTTTGGAAGAGATGTTCTTCAAGCATCCATCGAGGAAGATCCGTACGTGTACTTTATGTGTTATCAACAATACAAATTACCCGAATGAGGGGAAAATTTTGAATATTTAATTTGATTATCTTGAATGCGAGTTATATAATCTTGCGATTATGGCATTCTAAGCTGATATCCAATGTATTTCTCTTGTTTGGATCAGGTGGTGGAAAGGAACAATCCATGCAACCTTTTAAGCTTTTGGATGGTTCGGCCGAGTTCGTGCTCACATATGAGGATAAAGAAGGAGACTGGATGCTAGTCGGAGATGTTCCATGGGGGTATGTCAAAATATATTACATTCATACTCAATATATAGACGATCTTTTATAATGAATTAGAAAAGTAATAGAATTGATCTTCTATCCATAGTGGGCACGAGCTATGTTGTTCACCCTTTGACGTGGAAAAGTAATAGAATTGATCTTATGCCCATAGTGGGCAGGAGCTACTATGTTCACCCTCTGACATGGCATGCCACGTCAGTGGGTCAAACCTTTTTCTTTTGATTTGTCAAAAAAAGCAGTTTGACATTAGGTAAAGTATCTCCTACCGATTGTGAGCAGGAGATTAGGTCTGAGAAATGTAATATCAACCTTAAGCAACTTGATTAATTCAAGTTCCAAGAATAAATGAAGAAATTGATGTTCTAAGAAGTTTTTAAGTCATTTTTTAATACAATATTTACACTGAATAACAAGCTCGTGCACGTATACGCGCGCGCACACATTCACTCACTTAATCCACACTACAATCACAACTCCGAAATGATGCTATGCATATAACATGGGGACCAATATAAGACTTAGTCAACACTACAAGCTGCTGCTAGCTAGTTAGAGTTCACTGCTTGTTCATTTTATACTTGATAGTACTAACATTGTAGCCCGGCAATTGATTTTATTGAAATGAAGGAAAAGTATAACGCAAAACTTCAAATTTCATGCTTATATTTCACATCATCCAGTACTAAAAATGTCGATTTTTCTTCCTACGTTCAGGATGTTTCTCAGCACTGTGAAAAGGCTCAGAATCATGAAAATTTCAGAGGCGAATGGACTTGGTATTTATGCATATTATGTTACATAGCTTCACTTTTCTTCTGTCGCTTCGTCGTTAGCTTCTAATTCTGGTTGATCTTTATACACAGCTCCAAAGTTCCACAAAAGGAATGAGAAACAAAGGGCCAGAGCAATATAGCAACACTGCTGCTTTGCATACTAAAATATTTCGAGAGGATTGAAATGCGCTGTTTGAAAAGGAAAGCCAAAGGATTAGAGAAGTTCGAGTCGATTATTTTGCTACATCAGTTATTTATTTCTTTTTTTTGGTTTTTTATGGTTGCATTTTTAGAATGCACCCATATTCTGGTCTATATACCACTTTACCTTGTAAGCCATATTCAAATAGGATGTTAAGTTGCTCTATGTTATCACATGTTTTTTCTTTATGAATGCTTACTTGGCATAATGTAAATTTGAGAATGCTTCATATCTGTCTGTCTGTGTTTAGTTTTTCATCAACTCAATGGATTCAATTCTTCAATTGTTGTCAAATGAATGCTTGTATTGTTTTGGCAAAATTTTATTGATATTGAGATTTAACAAAGATTTCGTGTACTCGACCCATAATTTATGAAGTTTTTGCTATTGTTATTAATATTGAGATGTTTTTATAAGAATTTTATGGCTCCTTTTGGCATGGGTTTTGATTTTGTTTTTTGTTACTGTAAAGTAGCTTTTAGAGAAAGTTATTTTAATTTTTTTTTGAAAACTAATTTTTAAAAGCACTTTCTATTCCAAAAGCGCTTTTATAAGAAGTTACATTAGACCAGTTTCTTTTAAAAACTCTTCTAACCATAATAAACAATTTTGTAAAATTAGTAAACAAATTCAACAACTACTTTAGGGTCACAAAAACTCTTTTTGACTTTTCAGAAGTCATGCCAAACGAACTCTTACTCAATGACTATTATGCCGAATGATAGTAATTGAATAGAAATTACAAGAATGATATGAATTGGGAAAATGTTCTATGAAATGTTAAAATGCATCTTTATACTTTTGAACTTCTTGCAACTAATTCTAGGAATAGGGATGGCAACAGGGCCAAAGGGGATAAAAAATTTAAATTTAAACATAAAATAAAAATAAAATTACAAATTAAAATAAGAGTTGTAGTGGAGACCATGTTTTCCGACTAACTAGGATCCCCATCCCAATCGTGGTGGGACAATGCATCAGAATATTTTGCCATACCTATCGAGGAAAGGACACATGGAGTGCATATGGCGGGAGTGGACTTGTCTCTTATAATGTTCCATTACATGGAAGATCGTCTCCACCTCGATCCTGACTAATTGGGCGTGGAATTGTGACAAATTATGAAGTAATGTTATTTGCAGTAGTTCATTACCGTAGTTGCTCTCTGCGGCATATCCGTATCGGTTTGTGATTTGATACATTAATGCCGTAGTCACTAACCACCATGTGTATGCTACATAAAGTGACTGCGACAAAAACTACTGCAAATAATATTATTTTTCATTGTCCCCATACAAAAAATGACACGATATATTAGTGAAAATGACAAGAGTGGAGTGTACTTCACATGTCTCTTTCACAACACAATTGTGCCGTAAGCGGCTCAAAATACTCATCATATTAGTGCTGGAACTTGGCTTTGTTGGTCTTTAAAGAGACATTTATTGAGTCACGCATGTTCAAAGAAAAAATTTCGCTGTGAATGAACAAGATATTCAGGAATTGTCTAAGCATTAAGTTAAAATAATTGTACATATATATTTTCCAATTGTGTTACACATCCAGGATGAAAAACGTGCTCAAAAACAGTTACACCCACGATTGGACAGTTTGAAAAATTAAAATAAAAAACACCCAGCCATTTGCTGCTACTTCACTCTGTATCATCCTTCTCTGATTGACTTTATTCTATTTTTTTCATTGAAAAATGGATCTAGTGTTATAGAATAAAAATATAAGCGACGTCGATAATTCAAGAATCGAAGTGGATTTTTTTAAAATAAAAAGATAATAATCATAGCTTCTATAAATTGATTTCACAAGATTGGGTCAGTTTTCACTGCGTTGTCAGACTATTTACGTGATTATTTCTAGTATGGATGATTCGAGCATCCACTTTGATATTTTATTGAAACAAAATTAGACAATAAATAAGATAAAACTTTAATTATTAAATCTCAATAAGATGTCTAGTCGCGTTTTTCTCTCTCTAATATACTTGGTTGATATGTTGTTATTGGTTCAAATCTCATATGCAGTCACTCTTTTGCTTAAGTGCACACTTTTGTAGTTTTTATATAAAGGTGTTCATTTAAAATCAATAAACAATTTCGTCAAAAAATTTAACCCATGTTCGATTTAGATAAAATTCAAATTTTTAGCAGACTTTAAAAAATGTTGGTGAAATATGTTGTTGAAAAGTTGTAGATTCCATGAAATGTGTTATTAAAATTAATTGTTGACTATTACTTAAATTTTAATCAACTGTTTTAACTGAACCAAATAGTAGCTTAATATATTGGAGAGCATGAAGGAGCCGTTGGGAGGGGGGGGGGGTCTTTGAGGGTCCCATTTTATTTTATTTTTCTAACAATTTTTTTTTTAATTTTTACATATGAAAGCAAAAGATTATATTAAATAAAAATGAATATGGTTGCACCTTGGTGTAAAGACTCCTATCTATTTTTAGTTGGCAATGGATCAAATTAGGAGTGGACATTTTTTCTCAAAATCGGTTGAACCAGATCGGAACAATTTAAAATTGGCAGGTTCGATTCCGGATCTTCTAAACAACAATTTGATTTTAGGACAAATTATTAAGAATCAACTGGTTCCAGTCTGATTTTCAGTTCTAGTATGGGAACCGACGGTTCTCATATGAATTTTTTTTTTTTTGATAAAATATATAACTCAATATCCAATCACTTTTATAAAAAATAATCAAATTCCTTCTTCATCTTAGAATCAAAAACTTTCCTTTTCTTTGATTTTGATTCTCTCTTCTTATAATTCTTTGATTAATTGATACTCAAGTCAAATTAGAATATTGGGTAAATCTATACTTAAATAAATTTATTTATAATATATAATTTCATTTATAAGAAGCGAAATTTTTATTTTGTTTTCACTTTGATTACATAGTTGTTGATCCAATCGAAATTTTTTATCTAGATTTCAACAAATTATAACTGACAGAACCAGAAGTTGCAATCAATTTTTAATAGGTGTCCAATTCAATATAGGACTTTGATTTTGATGGAAGTTTGTTTAATCATTTGAGTTCTATGCAGTTTATATAAGTTGATAATTACTTGATGATAGTAATTTATATTATTTGGATATTATTTTTAAATTTGTATACTTAGTTTTCTTTTAATTTTTGAATAGTATGTTCAGTTCTTCTATATTCTGTTAAGCATCTTTAGATTTTTTATTATTAAACATTTTATTTTGACATTTTCAATGAAAAGAACTAGATCGAACCAAACAGAAATCGATTGGTTCGGTTCCATGACTAACTATGGAATCAATGATTCTAGTTTTAAAATTCCCATTGGTATTTGGTTCGATTCCCTTTGGAACCGGACCGAATCGGACCGCACTCAATCCTAATTCAAATCCTCTCAACCACAGTCTAGTTTTTCTCTTTTCCTTTGAAAAATTCGTGCAACTACTCCCCAAACTTTCACGTTTTAAGAAAAAGCATCCTTACCTTTAAAATTGTACTCCCAAAGTTGAGTTCCATTGGCATTTTATCATTTTTACATAATTTTATTAACTTCAGTATTAAATTTTCATTTGTGAGATGCATAAGCAAACTTTTCAACGGATAAAGTTTAAAAAGTTTACAAAATACTGTACTTAACTTAACAGCTAGCATAATCTTTCGAACTTTCATTTATTTTCAATTCCAAAATCTGAAAGAAAAGTGAAAAATTCTTTCCTTTGTTAACGCACAAAAATTGGCAATAATCAATTTAATGCATGACTATTTATTAAGAGAGTTTTACGAAATGTTCAGGAGACGATCCTAGTAATGATTTTTTTTTTTTTTTTTCTAACTCAAGTATAAAAATATTTTTCTCCAATTATATGCCATAATTGTTAAAGATAGAAATATTGTCTAGAATATTTTCCATTATATTTTTCCTTTTATAGTGGGATTATTATTATTATTATTATTTTTTTTTTTTTAAGTTAACTCAAGTATAAAATTTTTATTGATATTGAGAATTAAAAAAGATTTCGTGTACTTGACCCATAATTTATAAAGTTTTTGCTATTGTTATTAATTTTGAGATGTTTATATAAGAATCTTATGGCTTCTTTTGGCATGGCTTTTGTTTTTGCTTTTCTTATTGAAAAATAGCTTTTAGAGAAAGTTAATTTAATTTGTTTTGAAAAGTAACTTTTAAAAGAGCTTCGTATTAAAAAAAGCGCTTTTACAAGAAGTTACATTGACCAACTTCTTCCAAAAACTCTTCTAATCATAAGAAACAATTTTGTAAAATTAGCAAACAAACTCAACAATTGTTGCAAGGTCAGTCATGCCAAATGGACTTGTAGTTAATGACTAATTTGAGGTATCTAATCATATTATGCCGAATAATAGTAATTGAATAGAAATTTCGAGAATGATATGAATTGGAAAAATTTTCTATGAAATGTTAAAATGCATCTTTATACTTTTGAACTTCTTGCGACTAATTCTAGGAATAGGGATGGCAACAGGGTTGAAAGGGGATAAAAAATTTAAATTTAAACATAAAATAAAAATAAAATTACAAATTAAAATAAGAGTTATAGTGGAGACCATATTTTCCAACTAACTAGGATCCCCATCCCAATCGTGGTGAGACGAGGCATCAAAATATTTTGCCATACCGATCGAGGAAAGGACACATGTAGTGCATATGGTGGGAGTGGACTTGTCTCTTATAATGTTCCATTACATGGAAGATCGTCTCCACCTCCATCCTGACTAATTGGGAATTGTGACGAATTATGGAGTAATGCTATTTGTAATCGTTCATTACCGTAATTGCTCTCTGTGGCATACGCATACACATTAATGCGGTAGTAACTAACCACCACGTGTATGCTACATAAAGCGACTGCGACAGTAAACGACTGTAAATAGTATTATTTTTCATTATCCCCATACAGAAAATGACACGATATATTAGTGAAAATGACAAGAGTGGAGTGTAATTAACATGTCTCTTTCACAACACAATTCTGCCATGAGTGGCTCAAAGACTCATCATATTAGCGCTGGAACTTGGCTTTGTTGGTCTTTAAAGAGACATTTATTTAGTCACCCATGTTCAAAGAAAAATTTTCGCTGTGAATGAACAAGATATTCAAGAATTGTCTGAGCATTAAGTTACAATTATTGTACATATATATTTTCCAATTGTGCTATACATATAGGGTGAAAAACAGGCTAAAAAACAGTCGCTTCGCAATTGGACAATTTGAAAAATTAAAATGAAAAATACCAAACCATTTGT